AACATGGAAAGTACAAAGATGTAGAAAATTTATATGTTGTGAAAAATGAAATAGACTGCAAGAAGATCAATATATTAACATTATTGAGCTGAAATGGATGGGTAATCGCCATTTTGAATCAAACAGTCATATGGTTTACTCTGCAGGAAATGATAAATTGAAGAGTAATGGTATTACATTCATTTTCAAAAAGAACATTTAAAAACCTATCTTGATGTATAATGTTGTCAGAAGACCAGTTAATAAGACTATTATTCAAATTGTCACACCAGGCATGAAAATCAAAGATGATGAAATTGAAGAATTGATCAAACATGCAATCAAGATGCATTGATAAATACTGGTGATTGGAATGGAAATTTTGGAAACTCGGAAGGATCAGTAGTGAGAAAATATATTTTTGGTGATAGACCTGGTGCCCCAGAGATAAAATTTTGCAAGACCAAGGGTTTATTCATTGCAAATACCTTGTTTTACCACCATAGACCATGACTATATGTAAAAGCCTTGCTGGATAAAATACACAGAAGTCAAATTGACTATATCTGTGGAAAGAGACAGTGGAGAAGCTCAATATAATCAATCAGAAAAAGGCTAGGGACCAACTGGAACAGATCATCAACTGCACATATACAAGTTCAAGTTGAAGCAGTATAAAATTAAAACACACCCTTGTGAGCAAAAAAAAAAAAAAAAAAACACCCAAAAACTTACGTTTACCCCACATGAATCTAGAGACCATTTCACAAATACACTTGATGTGTTGAATACCAATGACTGGCAATGACATACATTGTGGAATGATATGAGCATCACATGACAAAGTCTAAAAGTCATTCAAAAGACAGAAAAGAAAGAAAAGGGCAGAAAGGACTCTGAAAGTTGTTCTAGAACCTAGAAAAGGTAAAGCAAAAGGAAGAAATGATGAAGCAAAAGAGCTAAAGAAAAGCTTTTATAGGGCAACTTGAGAAGACAAAGTAAAGTATGACAACAAAAGTGTGAAAGACCAGGAGATAGAAAGAAAAGAACATACTTCTCATGTTCAAGCTGAGAAAACTGTAGAAAATTTTCAAGCCTCAAATTGTAGTCATGAAAGATTCTATGGGCAAAATATTAATGATACATGAAGTGTCAGAAAAAGATGTAAGGAATACACAGAGTCACTGTACCAAAAATAATTTATTAATAATCAACTATTTAAGGAAGTATATAGCCAAGTTTTATGGTATTGACGGTGGAAGTAGAACTGCATTAAAGGCAATGACAAAAAATATGGCCCCAGGAATTGACAGACTACCAATTGAAATGTTTCAACAAACTCACCTAGTGCTACAAGTGCTCACAAGTCTATGCTGTTGTTGTTGTTAAGTGCCATCAAGTTGTTTGCGATCCATATCGACCCTGTATAGGGTTACTTAGGAACAACTGTTGAGCTTGAACTGCCAAGCTTGTGATTCAAACTGACTTTGTTGTCCCGCACATTAATCCACAGCACCACACCAGGACTCCTACTCTATGCTTCTTGTTATTATGAAATGCCCTCGAGTTGGTTCTGACCCATTGCAACCCTATATAGGATTTCTGAGGAGCAGCTGGTGAACTTGAACCACTGACCTTGCAGTTCAAACAGCTTTGCAGTCTGGCGCATTAATTACCCCATAGTATCACACGCTAGTTGATGGTAAAACATTTGGAAGACAAGTACCTGGTCAGCTGATTGGAAAAGACCCATACTTGTGTCCATTCTGAAGAAAAGTAATCCAACCGAATGTAAAAATTAACAAACAATATCATTAATATAACATTATGGTGACTTGAATTTACTTGCTATGGCTTTTCTATCCAAAGTCTTCTTAATTCCTACCAAGTGATTGGGTGGGACCATGCAAATAAGATATACAGGACTCTAAGAGTGGGTTTGGTGTTTAAAAGGAGCCATCTCAGAAAGAGAGACAGAAGATCCCAGGACCACCAAGAAGGAAGAGCATGAGCGAAACATAAGATCCCTACCTAGAGAAACAGTGAAGGCAGAGTCAACAGCAAAGATGATGGCAGAAGTGACAGTTAAGTCAACAGACAAGGCAGTGGCAATGGAGAGACAGAGCAGCTTAGGCTTTAGACCCATGGACTGAGTAAAGCTGAGTACATACAGGCAAGAGACTATTTGCAGAATGTGTCCTTTGGGCATTCACAGACTGGCTGAGAGAACTTTGTAACACTTGCTGGAGTAGGGCAGAGGCCAAGGGATCACATTGCTGAGAGGCTGAAAACAAGAGTGAAGTGTGCCTGCAGTATGGCACACAAGAGGCGTTTCTGATCGGAGAACTGCTGCTTACTGAGTTATTTTTGACTCTGCTCAATTAATTCTTTTTTTTTTTTTTTTAACTTGTGATGAGAAATCTTTAATTGGAGACTTTACAGAAAAGCAAGGTAAAGTTATCAGCATCATGATTCAACTGGCTAGTACTTGGGGGGTGAAGGGGTTGCGCAGAGAGTTGGGGGGAAGACACAGTTCTCACAGGAGCCAGAGTTGTAACAGGTGAGTGATACGTGGTGAAAAGAATTCCTCAGTACATGTACAATCTGTAACAACACGAGAAATTGTTAAAGACAGCTGTAACCAGGTACTAATCCATCCTTGACAAGATTGTTACTGGGAAAAAGGACCTGCCGAGTTCAAAATAGTGGTCAGTCCCTAGTAAACTCCATAATCATGAGTATTGTTCTTAGTTCTGTGTGGCCATTGCAATAGTTAATCAAACCCAGGTGTGAAGCAGAATGATGGATTATGTCAGAATAGGTTAAAGAAGGTTGTAGGGTGGAAGCATATCTGACCTCTGCTTCAAAAATAGACCTTAGGCTGATTTTTAGTTTGATTCTCTTTCCTCTTTGTGAAGCCAGAAGCAGTCAAACATGGCACCTACATGACGTTAGCAATCAAGTGAAATTTTGCTAAAGATAATTTAAAAAATGGTTGTAGCAGTGCATTTACAGGAAACTGTCAGAAATTCAAGCCATGTTCAGAGGAGAACTTGGAATGAGGGATATCATTGCTGATGCTGGATGGATCTTTGCTGAAAGCAAAAAGTACCAGAAACATAGTTACATATGTTTTGTTGACTATGCAGAGGCATTGGATTGTGGGGATCAAAATATATTATAGAGAACATTGTGAAGAATACAAATTCCAGAACACTTCATTGTGCTGTTTTGGAGCCTAATCACAGATTAAGAGGCAGTCCTTTGAAAAGAACAAGAGGATACTGAGTAGTTTAAAATCAGGAATGATGTACATTAGGGTTGTCCCCTTTGATTTATTTGATCTGTATGCTAAGCAAATAATCTGAGAAGCTGTACTATATGAAGAAGAACAAAATATCAAGGTTCAAGGACAACTCATTAACAACCAGTAATATCTAGATAATGCAATCTTGATTGCTGAAAGCAAAGAGGACTTCACACACTAACTGATGAAGATCAAAGACTACAGCCTTCAATATGGATTTCACCAAACATTAAAAAAAAAAAAAAAATCGTCACAAATGGGTCAGTAAGCAATATCATGATAACTGGAGAAAAGATTGAAGTTGTCAAATATATCATTTTAATTGGATCCTCAATCAACACCCATGGAAGCAGGAATATGGAAATCAAATAACGTGATGCAATGGGAAATCTGCTGGAAAAGATCTATTTAAAGTGTTAAAAATACAAAACTATTGCCATGAAAACTAAGGTACTCCTTAACCAAGCCATTGATTCAATTGCCTCATATGCATGGGAAAACTAAATAACGAATAAGAAAGACAAAAGAAGAATCTACGTCTTTGAACAGATATGATGTTGGTTAAGAATGCTGAATGTGCCACGAACTGCCAAAAGAATGAACAAATCTGTCTGGGAAGAATGAAAGTCAGAATACTCCTTAGGAAACCTTACCTTATGTGCTTGGACATATTAATCAAGAGCGACCAGTCCCTGGAAAAGGGCACCAGATAGAGGAGCAGAGGAAAGAAGATCTTCAAGGAGATAGGAAGGCATAGTGTGTACAATAGGCTCAAATATAGTAACAGCTGTGAGATAGCACAGGACTAGGCAGTGCTTTATTCTATTGTGCATTGTGTAGCTGAGTGGGAATCAACTCAACAGCACCTAACAACAACTCACTATATAAGCATAAATTCTCATTTCAACTTGGAGTAAAAACCTAATTTAGGTAAAACATAAGATGGAAACTTAAAAACCTTATATATTTAGTAGATTTCAGAAAACCTAATGGATAACATGTTACAATAGTATTTCCTCATATGTAAAAACCTAATCTACAATAACATCAGGTTGAAGTTCTGGAAAAGCAGAGTTTAAGAAAATGTTCAAGGTCACAATTGTTTTAAGATACGCTAACACACATATTTCCTGTGGTGTCATTTTGATGCCAAAGAGTCTAAGTTTTATTCATTCATTTATCCTGCAACTAAAATTTATAAAAGGCATAATAAGAGCTACGATATGTTCAAATAGTAATAAGATCTACATTTATGTCAGCCTTCAGATAGTTCACAATCAATCAGAATAAAAGTGTATTCTTCACCCAGGATAATCAAATGTAGATGGCAGTAGTTATCAGTAGGTCCCCAGGGAAAATTCTATAGATTTTTCATTAAATGTGTTTTTTAAACACGTGCTGATAATTATTAGGATCTCTGTGACCTGACATGCTCTTCTGCTCCTTTGGGGAAGAGAGGAATATCAATTACCAGTTTCCTTTTTTCCAATGTAAGTTCTCAGGAGGCAGGAACTGACTGGGCCAGTATTATTTTTTCTTTGTACCTGAACTTGCAGCTTTTAGTTGAAGATGATAATGGTAGTAAGAAATACTGCTTTGCACACTCAGATGCATTTCAAAGAGTGTTGTCACTATACTTCCAAATGTATACACCCCCACACCACCATAATCTATGACTTTCTGACTTTGCATGTGGCTTGTCCTTGCTTTCCAGGCCTTCTACAACTATCGTGTCCTGGAATTACTTCAGGTGCTGGTGACAGGAGCGATAAGTGCTCAGCTGGAACAACATTTGGATAAAGAAAAGCAGTATGGGCTGACAGAGAACTGTACTACATTCTTTTCTGCGAGAGCTCGGTGTAAACTGGGGCTTCTCTCCTTGAACAATACCATTTTATCAGACATTCAAGTGAGTCTAATCTTTTTATCTTAGAGGTTCCCATTTCCCTCCCTTTCTAGGTTTCTGAAAATGGTCCAAGCTCTTTGGGGTCTGAAGATGGTCTATTCACAGAAACCACAATAAAAACAGCCCTGTAGTATAGGCACTGGACTGCGAAACCACAAGGTTGGAGGTTCAAGTGCACCAATCACTCTGCATGAGATAGATGAGGCTTTCTGCTCTCTCGAAGATTTGTAGCCTTAGAAATCCTATATAGAGTCTCTATGAGTCGGAACTGAGCCAACAGCACTTCACAACTAATTCATAGAGAATTTTACAATTTACCATGAATTTTTCATGTACTATATTTATTATATGGTGTTATAAGGTAAGCCCTGGACTGCTAATGGAAAGAATGGCAGTTCACATCCACCAGTCACTCCTCAGAAATCCTAGACTGAGTCACTATGAGTCTGAACTGACTCTACTACACTTAACATCAACAGCGTATTTATTGTTGACAATAATCCTGGATTTTAGATATAGTAGTTGTTATGATGACCATCTTACAGATATGGAAACAAGCCCACACGAAGCATCAGATAGTTCTAATGAGTTTGTTCTTTGAGAAGGATACTAATAATAATTATAATAGCTAGTGTTTGCTGAGTACTCTCCCTGTGCCTTTTTTTCTCTGGGTTTTGTTGTTTTCACTTAATCCAATGATTTAAATCATTATTAATTCCATTAATTTTTGGATCAAGAAGCTGAGATTTAGAGAAGCAACTCCTTTCCTGATCAAATTGTCTACCAGGGCAGAGAAAGGGTCTACCGTAGTCAGCCTCATCCAGGGTTTACCCATTCTACACTTAAACAGTTTTTAAAAAGTCTGATCAGGCCTGCTAAAACCAGGCAGAAGAATATGACTGGGCTGGCCTGTGGAAAATGCTTGAGTTTCCTTAAATCTGGGAACTAGTGGACAGTTGATTACAATTTTGGAAAAGTCCAAGGGATCTCTGGGCATTGGGTTCATAGCAGGGTCCTGGGTAGGAAGGGGTACTCTAGTTATCAGTGTGGTGTCTTTTGGTTTAATTTTAATTGACATGTCATCAAGATGCTAGTTCTATTATTAAGGGGAAGGCCTTTACAAGGAAACATCTTTTGCTGACTCACAGGAAATCAGCAGAAGTCCCTTCACAAGGGGAAGGCTCTCCCAGGCCTGTGTATCTGTTATGTCTCAACATGTATTTTCCAAAAGGGGAAGCCCTGTACTTTGCAATTCAATTCTAGGTGGAAAATTGTATTTAAAAAATCTCCCTCAGAATGTTCTGGTCCTTGCATTTCTGTGATCCTGTGTTCTTCAGCTAATGATAGTAGTGCTTTTAAACCTAGGGCACTATTGCAGTAACTAATTGTTGGCATCAGAGTTGACAATAGACATGTCTACATAGACCCACACTCCTCTCCTCTGTCTGTGCATTCATGTCTTGTCCCCACTTCTTCCTCTACCCAGAGACATCAAAAACCTGAACAAACTATTCTTTTTTGACTTTACCAAACCCTTTTGCCACTTCTTTTGACCTTATTGATTACCACTTGAGAACAAGTCAAAGATGAATGGTGGGACTGTGATCTGTTTTAAAGTGAGGTAAAAAAGATCTCTCTGGAGATCACTTAGCATCCCAACTAATTAAGCTCCAGAAAAACAGAATTTTGTAATATACTGCTAAATTTAATTCATAATGTTTACTAAATCAACAATAGTAAGGGCAACAGCATACCATACCAAACCCACCAGAGGCTTTTGAAAGGACCAGAATGACAAAAATGGTTACTGGGATTATAGTCTCAGAACTAATGACAAACCTAATCACCAAAACACTTGACACTGACATCATGAAGATATTATAAAATATATTTCTGATCTTCCAAACTTCTACTACAAGGGAAAGTAAATGACACTTATGTGCTTATTCATGTTTGATCAAAGTATCCAGATCCCATATGTTTTCCTCTTTTCTCCCCAGCCAAGAGACTCCTTTGGACAAGTGTTCTGTAGTTCATTAAAGCAGTTTGGAATCCTGTGCCTTGGCTTATATCGCATGATAGATAAAGAAGAATACAATCCAGAACATGAAAGGGGAGTATACTAGTTTGGAAAGTGTTAACAAAGCATAAGAACTAAAGTTACAGTATTCACTGTGAATGAGTTCATCAATCAGGGTCAACATTATAAGGAGGATTACAAGGGGAATGAATAATGGTATAGGAGTAAGGAAGAATGAGTACAAATTACATGAATCCTGTTGATTAGGGTTCAATGAATATTGGCCATACAAGGAAAATGGAAGTTCTTTACTCAATGAAAAGTAAAATGTAAAATGAGATTTTTCTCATGGTTCTATGGTATCAGGCCGCTTACTCTTACCTGTGCAACTTCCTAAAGCTGATGGTTTCTGTCTATATTTAAGAAATGTACCTGTTTTCTGTTGAATTCATTAGGTAAATCCTTACTGAATATATCTTTTAAAGGCTCTGTGCTTTGTACATATAAATCATGGGTGTATCACGTTCAAATTTTCATTTGAAGAATGATCATTCTGACAACAGTGGGGAAGATCAAGAAAATTTATGTGGTAGGTAGGAGGGACAGAGAGAGTATGCATCATCTAGGGACAGTGCAGAAATGTAGGTCCAAACTAACATGATAACAGTAGATTTCATAAAGGAGGAAAACTTAAAAGTAGCCGAGTGAAAATAGACTATTCTAGGAAAGACAGGGAGGAAGTAAATTGTAAGTGAAGAGGTGTTAAATAGAAGGAAAAATAATTAACCACTCATAAGAGAAAAGTAATGGGTACCAAAGTAGATGGATATATAAGTGGGAATATGATAAGTGAATGTGTATTTAATACTTGAATTTCTTAGTGAAGTATATATACAGTGATTTATAATAGAAAAAATGGAAATATTATATGAAGTTGAGAAAGAGGAAAAGTTTACATTAATTGCCTAGAAGAGTGGGAGAGGAGACTCATTGTGGATTTATAGAAGCAATGATATGTTGTAAAAAGGAAGGATGAGGGAATAGATGTATTCAGAGTAAGAGAATAAGAAAGATTGAATGATGGAAAATTGTGATCAGAAAATGATGTATCGTAGCTTAAGAATTTAGTGATGGGGCAGTGTCAAGTAATGACACCATCCAGGATGTGGCAAGGGAAGTGGTTTGCAGATGAAGACTTAAATCAGTTAACTTTGTCTGGGTGCTGGAGTTATAAACCAGAGACACTTCAGTCACTTGAAATGAAAATGGCACTGAAGTTTGAAAGAAAAGGAAGTTCCAAGTGTTAAAGACATCAATAAGTGTGGAGGTCTATGGATACCAGGGCTGTAAAACATTAGCCATGGGGATGAGGTTGTGTGATTGATGTTTTGGAAGCAGCATTGAAAATGACTAAAGACTAATGCTCATCCTTCTCTACCTGAATTCTGCCCACGCCCCTCCATTATACTAAGAAAGTCAGTCCCAAGGAGAATGGTGACGGGGACATGGAAACTATACTTAAAACTATATCAGGAGAAATGACACTCTCAGAGAAATGACGGTCTCTGAAAAAATGGAACAAGTGAAAGAAGATTTATATTTTAAAGAGAATATGCCATTGTAGAACATCTTGTTTACAATGGAATAGGAGTTATACAGGACTCAGTGGAAGTGATAGCAAAAGTGGGAGATGTATTGGTGAAGGAACATAAATACTGTGCTGAAATGGGTGTTTAGGGGAGATTGTTTGGGCAGCAGTAAAGAAATGCAAGATGAAAGTCATGAAAGGTTATTATGCTTCAATGTTGTGACATGAACAATGATATATTGGTTAAACTCATATTTTGTGACCATGTGCTATGTACCCAGGATTGTGCTAAGGCACCCTGCTTCCATGCATAGTCTTCCCATGAAGGTTCTAAGTGTTTTTTAAGACTTACATTATCAGGAGGGACCAGTCCATGGAGAAGCATACTATATTTGCAAGGTAAATGGTAGGTAAAGAAGAAGACCCTCAATGAGATGGATTGGCACAGTGACTATAACAATAGGTTCAAACGAGTCAACATTGTTGAGAATGGAGCAGGAATGGACAATGCTTCATTCTGTTGTACATAGACTTGGTATGAATCCAAACCAGCTAGATGCTACCTAACAACATTTGCTTAACAATCACAATCAGCACTTCTAATGGAACTTTGTTTTATATATATATATATATATGTATTTAAATATATATGTATTTAAATACACATACACAATGTGGCTTCAAAAAGTTCATGGAAAAATTTCATTATCTTTAAATTCCATATATACATATGTTGTTGTTGTTAAGTGCAATAGAGTCAGTCATTTCCAACTCATAGTGACCCTGTATAGGGTTTCCAAGGAGCAGCTGGTGGGTTTGAACTACCAACCTTATGGTTCACAGTCCAGTGCTTATCCTACAGCGCCATGCCATAAGTCTATATATACATACCCACTCCATTGCATTTGAGCTTATTCCAACTCATAGCAGCCTTATAGGTCAGAGTAGAACTGCCCCATAGGGTTTCCAAAGCTACAAATCTTTACTGAGGCATACTGCCACAGTAAAGAACGCACACACACACATATGAGGGAAAGTAAAAAACTTCCTGAAAAATGGAATTAAAAGGTAATGGAATTTTTCCACGAACTTTTTTAAGCCCTCTCCTGTGTGTATGTGAGTGTGTGTGTTCTTTATTAATCCAGGTATGTTGTTGTTAAGTGCTGTCAAGTTGGTTCTGACCCATAGCAACCCTATATAGAGTTTCCAAGGAGTGGCTGGTGAGCTTGAACCACTGATCTTGTGATTCGAATGACTTTACAGTCCAGCACATTAGCCCACAGCACCACACCATAACTCTAGCCCAGGAATGTACTATATGAAAGGGGATGCCAAAAGCATTCGGCTAGGCCTAAGTCAGGATGAAACAATCTGGAATGTTGTATTCTTTTCTTTTGGCAAAGTTTGGTAAAGTGCTCAGTATTTTGCCAGTTAAGTTTATTAATTTGGTGGTGACTGTGTGCCGTGGAGTCATTTCTAACTCATAGTGAACCTGTACAGGGTTTCTGAGGCTGTAAATCTTTACGGGAGCAAAACACCTCCTCCTTCTCCCACGGGACAGCTGGTAGTTTCGAACTGCTGACCTTGCGGTTCACAGCCCAATTCGTAACTACTACGCTACTAGAGCTCCTTTAATGTAGTAGCTATTAAAAGCAGAGAAAACTGAAATCAGAAAGACCATTAGTGATCAATTAGTCTATACCACAACCCTAAGTCAGAACTGGTTGGAATAGAGGCAGGGATGGAAGCCAGTCCCTGATTACTGCTATAGAACCTTTCCTTTTGCATTGTGCAACGTGAGGGGCTTATCAATAATAAATACAGATGCATTTACTACTAACCAGAGACCAGCAAAGCAAAGCAAGACAAAAATCTCTCTCCTTTGACCAGCAAATGACTTCCTTAATTTGATATTGTCTGTAGCCATGCTATTCCTAATGTAGAGACTCAGAACTCATCTTTGGTTTCTCTTGCAGGTTTGTGATTACGCGGCCAGCCAAAGATTTTAAACTGCTGGCCTCAGATCTGGTGTTTTGTGCTATCCCGTTCAGCACTTCTTACTACAAAAAAAATGAGTCTTCACCTCAACAAACATATGAAACTGTAAATCAAATTTCACCAATGCAGAAGAATGCTCCAAACTCAAATAATCTTAACTCAGCTGACAAGGGTACACCACAGTTCTGTGAATCACCAGCCCTATCTGTGAATCAAGCGACTAGAGACTTTTCTACACCCAAGCCAACACCATCATCTAAGAGATAGCCAAATGAAAATGGGGCAGAAAATGTAAAAGAAGACATAAAAGAAATAATGCAAAATGCCTCTGAACATTCAACGTCCAAGTAGATCAATCGATATTTTGTGCTAGCACCTATTTTGTTACATAAGGAGTCTTCAAACAAGAAAAATAAGATGGAGCCATGTGATTTTGGTGCCCATTGCTTAATAATTGAGTAGCAAGCCCACACTTAGAAATAAAAATGTAACCCACTCCCACTGGATCCGGTATGATCAATAAATATATGAAAAATGCCACTACAAAAAAGTTCATTAGCTTCTTTCCATTGAGCCGAGAACATATCAATTTGAGAAAATGAAAGAAGTCTTTCAGCATTTGCTGCTTTCGTATATTCCAGGTCAGGAAAGATGAAATAATCAAGATATAGATGGGGATAACTTAGAAATAGGAGTCAAAAACTGAAGTATTCTCAAAATGAAAAAAAACTTTGCATTCTTTATCACAGAGCAGACAGTCAACTAGTGTATATCTCCATTTCTTTTCTCTTCATGTGTTTCCTTTGTCAATAGAAAATGAGAAAGGCCAGATGTTGACTTTATTTGGAAAGTGTGCAGTGTGTGTCTGTGTGTGTTTAGAACCAAGGGATATACCAGGTACATACCGAAAACCAAAATTACTTCCATAGAATTGATTCTGTCTCAGCAACTCATGAGTAGACCTGCTCCGTAGAGTTTCAGAGACTGTAAATCTTTGCAGAAACAGACTGCCTCATCTTTCTCCTGATGGGTTTGAACTTCTGATCTTGCAGTTAGCAGTTCAGTATCCTACAGCACAGAAATCGTTGTTGTTGTTGTTAAGTACCATCAAATCAGTTCCAATTCTTAATGACCCTGCATAGGGTTTCTGAGGCACTGCTAGTGGATTTGAACCACCAACCTTGTGGTTAGCAATCCAGTGCTTATCCTCCAGTGCCACACCTAAATTGAGAGGTATCAAATATATCCCTATGTTCTGTATACCAAAATAAAACAATCCTCTGCTCTAAAACTGTCATCTTCAATTATTAAGTTGTTTTATCAAGATGTGGATCTATTACCATAGTTCACAAGACTATAACTTGAAACAGAATTTTACTCGCCATTGGTGCCATTGTGATGATGGGATTTCTACTCAAAGGCCTTCCTGTGCTATAGAATATAACCAAGGAAGAGGGGAACACTGTGACTATTAAGAAAAGCACTAGGCTACTAACCTCAAGGTTGTTGTTGTTGTTGTTAAGTGCCGTTGAGTC